TGATGGCTTAGGTGCATCACAAAGTTTGAGAAAATTTCTTTTGAGTTATGAGTTTGGTCAATGGAATAAATGTAGCCAGTCAATTTCATATCCAACTGTCCAAATTAATTGTTACCACCTTGTACTAAAGATAAATAGTCTCATTGTACACTTTTTCATTTGTTAAAGAAACAAAATGAAACGTTAAATTTGAGGTCAATGTTATGTAGAATGAGAAAGCTAACTGTATTAAGAAATTGACAAAATAATTTTTAAGAGAAACTAGAAGGAAAAGAAATTCTTATAAAGAAATTTGGTGGTAGAGTGATGAGGTTCAGAAAGCCATGAGTGAAAAACGATCATGTTATAAAATTTGACAATATAATATAAATTAAAATAATATAAAAAATGCTAAAGAAATAGTAAGTAATGCTAAACTTAGAAATAATAAAAGATGAAATCAATTTGTGTCTAAGGGTATTTTTTAAATGTTTTAAACAAGATGGAAAAATGTAAAATAAGTACTCGTGAAAACACTTTCAAATATTTGTCAAAACGATAAAAAACATTAAAAATTTTTGTTATAAATAAATCCTTTGTGTTTTTGGGATTTTGTATGAGTTTTTTTGAATTTTTTTTTAAAATATCCAGTAAAATCATCTGAATCGGCCAAAACCGGAACCGACGTTCCGATCTAACCGGCCGGTATCGATCAAGTTTGCAAACACCGGTCCCACCGTGCCGAAGTATATGTATGAAGTCTAGCTGCAACAAGCTTTACACGAAGCTCCTTTGGTGCTTTCTTGTAATCAAAATACTTGCACTCCGCCAATCTAGAAATTCTTTCAGGTGCAGTTGTTTATAAAACTTCGATAATTGAAGTTTGACGGAGTCCTTCACAAGTACGAGCCATGTTTCACGGTCATCCCTTTGTCGACATTGATTGCCAAAGGGATTAACATCTGACTCAGCACTTGAATATTCAGGGCTGAGTTTATATGAGTTGCAAGGTTAATTGCTCAACTTGCGTACGAAGTGCCTCTAACTCTTCATTTCTTGTATTGTTCACTTCATAGTTTCTACGACCACCGCTTCTCCTTCTTTCCGCCATAAAAATGGATGTATAAATGGAAACAATACCCCACCCAAGCCTGAACTCAGGCCTGAACTCAGGCTCTGATACCAAATGATATGGCTAAACTATGGAGGTACAACAACTTAGTTAGAGAAACCAACCACAAGACAACACTTAGAGAAAACAACTACAAGACAATATAGAAAAAGAAAATGGGTGGGTGTTAAGCTCTACCAAAAGTTATAAGCAAACTGCTCCGTAGAAATGGATGTATAAATGGAAACAATACCTTGCCCAAGCCTGAACTCAAGCTTTGATACCAAATGATGCGGCTAAACAACTTAGTGAGAAAAAACAACCACAAGAAAATGTAGAGAAAGAAAATTGGTGGGTGTCAAGCTCTACCAAAAGTTACAAGCAAACTGATCATTCTTGCCGCCATCAAAATGGACATATAAATGGAAACAATACGTGGCCCAAGCTTGAACTCACACTCTGATACCAAATGATGGATTTATAAATGGAAACAACACCCCGCCCAAGCCTGAACTCAGGCTTTGATACTAAATAATGCGGCTTAACTATGAATGTACAACTTAGTGAGAGAAAACAACCACAAGACAATGTAGAGAAAAAAACGGGTGGGTGCCAAGTTCTACCAAAAGTTACAAGCAAACTGCTCTATTTTAAAAAGATTGTTCGAGTAAAAATGGCACACCATAACCCTTTTATGGATGTTGTTTTCACACTTTCAATGTTCTTTAAAACCCACAAATTTCTATAATGTCTCTTAAAAAAACCTACAAATTTCTATAATGTCTACCAAAGAAAACCCACAAATTTCTAAGTATATTCCTACTCTCAATTCTAGAAATTAACTTTCATTGCGATTCTCATTCCCCATTCAAAGTTTATGGGAACGAGTAGTCCAAGAGACTAACATATGAGAGAGAGCCAATCCTTATGTAGTCCCGCGGAGGCATGAGAGAGACCATCAAAATAGGGGATTGTATATAATGTGATCATTTACTTTTGATATAGGGAGGTCACAATCATTTACAACCATTTGATTTAAAATCTGATAGCTTGAGTATATCATAAACTTCGAGAAAATTTCTTTTGAACTTTCAGCTTGGTCAATGAAATAAATGCAGCCACCCAATTTCACATCCGGTGGTCAAGATTAATTGTGGCCACATTATACAAAAGGTAAATGGTCAATTATATACTTTTCTTATTTGCTAGAGAGAGATTAAAAGGGTTCGTTTGATTCACGTGAAAATGTTTTTTAGAAAAAAATTTCACATGAAAAATTATTTTATGCGGTCAAGTGTGAGAATATTTTTATATGGGTTAGTTGTCAATTGGTGTAAAAAGATGCACTATGACTGCTACTATGAAAATATTCTCATTTGTGATTGCAAGAGAGAATATTTTTACATGAAAATATTTTCATGTGAACCAATCATGCCATTAATACTCTTTAAAAAAAAATAAAAAAATACTGTTAGAGAGAGAGAGAGTCCTTATGTTGTCCCCTTGATGAATGAGGGAGAGACAAAATATTGCTAGAGTAAGAGATTAATATTCTCTTTGGAAAAAAAAGAGATTAATGCACAAGAGAGAGAGGGACTCCTTACACAGTCCCGGTGATGATGAGAGAGAAGCACAATATTCCTAGAGAGAGAAAGTGATTAACATTTCCTTTTAGAGAGAGAGAGAGAGAGATTAAGATTAATATTAATATTGAGAGATGGAGACTGTAATTTGCATTTGAAGTTTTTAAGTGCATAGTCCGCCAACAAGGTTCTAAAAAATAGTAGGCCCTGCCCCATCATGATTCATGCCATTCAAAGCAAAAGCTTCTTCATCCATCACAGCAAAGTTGACCGTTGGCGTTTTTGAATTTTCAAAAGCCACATCCCCGTTTACCACCCTATCTAAGCCAACTCACAAAATTACAGTCCCTCCCATCCAAATGACGAGATTACCCCGCATAAAACTCAGATATTACAATGAACAACCCTTCCTATTGACGGCTTAGACCAAAACCATTCTTTTGTGGACGGCCAGGATGACGTCTTGATACCCTTGTTATCACTACGATATAAAAGAAATGAAAATTTACGACCAGGAAAAGCAGAGAAATCTATATCATACTCACATTTTACATTTCCAAAAGTAATATATCTTAAAAAATTAAAAAGAAATACATCTATTTTTTATATATAAAGGGTTTTCATGTTTGAAAGAGGGAAAACACAAAAACTTATTAAAAACACTTATAAAAATTCTCTTTTTCTTAATAACTCACTGAAGGTATGATATTTAATCGAGCAAAACGGCAGATCAAGATTCATGTAGCCGTTATATCTTTTAAGTAGAATTTCCTACTCACTGAAGGTATGATATTTAATCGAGCAAAACGGCAGATCAAGATTCATGTAGCCGTTATATCTTTTAAGTAGAATTTCCTATTGTTACATGAAAGAACCTAAAAAAAATGTACATGTATATTACTCATCTATCTCAAACAATTTATTTCTACATAATTTGCTAGGAATTTTCTTTTTTTGGTTAGTTTTGCAGTAGGATTCGAACTTGAGATCTAAAAATGGTCATGGTCAATACTTTAGTTGATCAAGCCCAAGTCCAAGGCCTTTCTACTGGAATAAAGTTTCGAAATAACGAATGTCCAAAAATCAGAGTGCGACTAGAACACCAAAGGGGTTTGATTCCGATTCCCTAAATCATATTACAATTCATGTGACAGATTGGGCCACAATTAATAAAAAAATTTAGAGAGAGAAACTAGCAAACCTGAGATAGGCGATTTTTCAGTCACTGCTGAAAGAAGAAATAAGAGTATTTTTTTAAAATAAACAAATTCAAGGGAACTACGGAACCAAAAAAGAGGAGCAAATAAGATTGCAATAGAGAAAAGCCCTAAAATTTGAAAATTTCTCACTTGAAGTTATCTAACAAATTAGTAATTAGACCCACGATTACTAAACCTCGAAAGAAGTAAATAAGTGTATTATATTTGGGGATTGTATGCAATGAGACCATTTATTTTTATGACAAAGAGGTCACAATCACTCATACTCATTAAATGTCCAATTGGATGGTTTGGGCTAGTCATGAAGTACCATTTTTGTTTTTTTTTTAACTTTGAGTCTTTTTTATGACACTTTTACAATCACCCAATTTAAAATCTAAAGCACAAAAATGATTGTGACTTTTTTTTATTAAAAAAATAAAAAGAAAAGTTTATATAAGGTTGTAACTTTAAAATGTAGTATCACATGTACACCTCAAAAATCTATCGAAAATGTTGTTTTAATGTTGAAAAAACCCTCTAATTGATCATCTCAACATCGAAATCTATGAATATGGAAAAAAAAAAATTTTAATCTTGAAAATAGTGCATCTTGCCGCACATTATCTAGACCGTCCATTTTCAAAATTTTCATATACTTATAGATTTACTTGATTTTTACCATTTCGAAAGTTTAAAATTTCCTAATTAGGTATGAAAATAGATTTTAAGATAATACCAATAATTTTTTACAACAAAATTACATGTTATCATAAAATTTTAAAGTGCACCTTAATCAGATTGTTTAAGGTTGAACCTTATAGAAACCTCTCCCAAAAATAAATACTCTCTTTCTAGTTTGTATAGTGTTCAATTGCAATTTACAATTACTAGACAACTTTATTTTAAAAAAATAAAAATAACGAGGGTAAGTATTCCATGTAATTTTCTAGATCGCTGGGGTCATTTACAAGAAGCAGACCCCCTACGGACGGACGGCCTCTTTATTAAAAACCCGGTCACGTTAACGCTGACACGTGGCATCACATATTTGAAAGCGGACGTAAAGCCCTTTTATACAATCCAATTAAATCCAATTGATTCGTCCGTTTTCGTGTCCTACCTTTCAAAGAGAAAACCCGTTGCTGCTCTCCTTCTGCTCTCTCTCTCTCTCTCTCTGTAAGATTTGTGCGTCTTCATTTCTCTCTCTAGGATTTGGTACAAGACCGTCTCGCATTTCTGTTTCTCTCTCTAAGGTTTCAATCTGAAACCCTAGAATCGAGTCACAGTTCCAGAGGTCTCTGTAACATTTTTTGTCTTTCCATTTCTCTCTCAGGGCTACTGTTGCATTCTAATTTCTCTTTCTACGGTTTCACTCAAATTCCCTAGAATGGAGTCGTAATCTGCTCTTTTAGTGCTTCTTGTTCTAGTTTTGTGAGGTGTTTTAGCTTGATTTCCTCTTCCTCTGGGCTTAAAGGACCCCCTTTAATGGATGCCACTGAAAATACATCAGATAAGGATTCTACTCAGTGTGTCAAGGTCGCTGTAAATATAAGACCTCTCATCAATAGTGAGAGGCTTCAAGGATGCAAGGACTGCATCTCTGTGATACCAGGAGAGCCTCAGGTCCGCATCTTCTATCCTCTATCTAGTTCTCTGTTATTTCTAGATATCAGGAGTTTCTATCTGTATCTGATCATGTTCGTATCTTCAAGGATGCAAGGACTGTATCTCTGTTATTTGTCTTATAAGTTTTGTTTACGTTCACAGATCTTTGGCAGTACATTGACAAGATTTGAATTTTGGTTCTTGTTGCGCCAGTGACTAGTTATACAGTTTCATGAATTTTTTATTCTTTATTAGATCGACAAATTGAATAAATGTGAGAAGGAATGGTTGATAAGATGAACTGCATTTTCTCAGCTAGTGTTTGTGTTTCTCTCTATCCCTGTTTTTATTATTCCTGATCTTTTCTCTTTCTACGAGAAAATCGATAGAGAATATGAACATTTCATTGGCTAGTTTTGAAGAGATACCTCTCTTTCAAATTAAAGTGTAAAATTTTCAACTATATTTTTTTTTCTCTCTCTGTTTTCTTTTTCATGTTGATTTTCCTTGTAACACTTTTTTATTTGGGTTTGTATGGCTTTCATCTGTTTGGATAGACCCAGCCTTGTTCTGTGGCTATACTGATTTTCTTAAAAATAGTGAACTTTGATAACTGCTCAAAACGAGGAAACCCCTTGAATATGTTACTTTCATTAGTTTGAGTAGAACATTGGCTCTTTCAAAAAAAAAAAAAAGTTTCTTTTGATCCGGTTATTCATTACCAGGTTAAGTCTACAAAGCCATTGTATATTGTATGGAACAATATAAGTTTTTTTCTTCAAATTCATCTGCAAGTCAGTGCCTTTGAGAATATTCCCTGACCCAAAAAAGGAAAAAGAAAGAAGAAGACTTTGAGAATTATTTTCAGGTTCAATTGGGCAACCATGCTCTTTTACTTCTTCCCAATTGAACTATATATCTAATGGAAAGACAGAGATTTTTGTTTCGATTTTTTCTGTAATTTTTTTTTTTTAAACTTTTGGATTTGTTTTCAGGTTCAATTAGGCAACCATGCCTTTACATTTGATCATGTCTATGGTAGCATGGGATCTCCATCCTCTGCCATATACGGGGAATGTGTAGCCCCCCTCGTTGATGCACTGTTCCATGGCTACAATGCCACAGTTCTTGCTTATGGTCAGGTACCGTATTTGGTTGATTGGTTCAAAATTCTTGTTTTTCAAAAACCTAATTCCTCTTTTGTATATTTTACCAATCATAAAAATAGTTCTTATGATATTTTCCTATGGTTATTCATAATGTATTTTTGTTGCTGCTATGTGGTGCAGACTGGCTCTGGGAAGACTTACACAATGGGCACCAGTTATTCAGGGGACACGGGAAATGAGGGAATTATACCGAAGGTCATGGAAAGTATTTTCGAGAAAGTTGACGAGCTGAAAAGCCAGAGAGAGTTTCTGATACGAGTTTCGTTTATTGAGGTACAGGGATACACTGTGTAGCATTTTATAGTTTACTAGTTGATATAGTCGCTATTTATTCTGAAAATGTATGGTAAAATTTTAAAACATAAATTTCATATGAGAATCATTGTTCACATGATACAATTTTGTGGCAATAAAATAGATCCCATATAAAGTAGCTCAAAATAAGAAATGATACAATGTAAGACGATAAGCTCACATTGTTTGCGCAAATTCTTTCTTTCTTTCTTTCCTTTTGTTTTTTTTTACATCGACTTGTGCCATGTATTATCTACCGTTAGGCGGGTTTAATTCCATGGCTATGGTTGCTTTAAACTTCTGTATATTTCCAGGAAATTATATGAGAATCCAACAGACTGTGGAAAACCATTGTTCGTTGGGGTCATCACTGCCAGATGAGATCGTGGGAAGTGTTAAAAGCATGATTGCCACTTGGTTCGTGTCATTTATTGGTGGTTCCCACTTTGTCTCACCGTCTACAGATTCATTGGACAGTGATGCCCCAATGAACCTCATTTTTGTTGATAGTCCATTGAATTATAGTAATTTTCATCCCTTTGAAAAGTTGCGGTCTAAATTTTTATTCTACTGTATGTTCTTGTTTTTTGATGTGCTTCCCAAATTTATTAAGCATTAGAAAGTTTTTTTGTTTACATTGTTTGAGAAAAGTTACAAAAATGATTTCTTATATGATATTTATTGCGACTTTCATTGTTAAATACCAGATTTTTAAAGAGGAGGTGCATGATTTGCTTGATCCTTCTTTGTCGGCTCCTGTGAAAGCTGATGGGTTTGGTCCTGGAAAGATTTTGGTGCCTCCCAGGGTTCCTATTCAAATAAGGGAAACTGCCAATGGAGGAATCACACTTGCTGGTGTGACTGAGGCAGAAGTGCGATCCATAGATGAAATGGCATCCTACTTGGCTCAAGGCTCAATGTGTCGTGCAACGGGAAGTACGAATATGAACAGTGAATCTAGGTTAGTTTTTCTCTTTTACACCTTGATACCCACAGTTATTTGTGATTTTCAATTGTTGGTCTTCTTTGTTTCTTTTGCATCAAAGAGTAACTTAATATATGTTTTATTTTTTAACTTATGCCGATTTGATAGATAGTTCATTAACCATGTATCTTTTGCAGGCCTCCTCCCTCTGTTTGTTATGAACATGCACTTATGTGCAAATTCTATTCTATTTATTCATTGATGTGCTGGTTATTTTTGTTGCTTTCTGTGTATTTTCTCATTTTGTTGTTTGGTTTCCTTATAGTCGTTCGCATGCGATATTCACCATCACGATGGAGCAAAAAAGAACGGTATCTTACTCGAATGGTCCTGTTATGGAGGATGATGGTTGTGATGACTTTTTGTGTGCAAAGCTTCATTTGGTGGATTTGGCTGGGTCAGAACGTGCTAAAAGGACTGGAGCAGATGGGTCACGTTTTAAAGAAGGTGAGCACTGGTTGAATCCTACCACTTGCCAGCTATCTCCATGGTTTATTGAATGTTGTTGGTGATAAAACTTGTTCTTCATTCTTTATTGTCTCCAGGTATTCATATTAATAAAGGTTTGCTAGCATTAGGAAATGTTATAAGTGCTTTAGGTGATGAGAAAAAGAGGAAGGAAGGTGGGCATGTCCCTTATCGTGACAGCAAGCTAACTCGATTACTACAGGTTTGAGTTTGTGGCCATGAACTGGTTTATAATGAAACGTTATCCTTGGAGATCAATATATATATATATATATATATATATATATCGTCTTAC